TAAAACACATCCTTGGAACTCATGTGACTTTCTTCAAAACTACGTCTTTTTAGAGCTCAGTAGTTGATAATTTAGGGATGCAGGTGGTGCTGTGGTCTAAACCACTGAGCCTCTTGGGCTTGCCGACCAGAAGGTCAGCAGTTCGAATCCCCGTGACGGGGTAAGCTCCTGTTGCTTGGTCCCAGCTCCTGCCAACCTAGCAGTTCAAAAGCACGCCAAAAAGTGCAAGTAGATAAATAGGTAGCGCTCTGGCGGGAAGGTAAACGGTGTTTCCATGCGCTGCTCTGGTTCTCCAGAAGCAGCTTAGTCATGCTGGCCATATGACCTGGAAAAACTGTCTGTGGACAAACGCTGGTTCCCTCTGCCTATAGAGCAAGATGAGCGCCGCAACCCCAGAGTCGTTTGCAACTGGACTTAACTGTCAGGGCTCCTTTACCTTTTAGTTGATAATTTAGCATGCAGGAAACCGCAGTTCAATCCCTGGCACTTGGGGCTTGGGAAGATTCTTGACTAAAACCTGGGACAGCTGCTGCCAGGAGGGGCTAGCTAGGAGGGGATGTACTGTTTATCTGGCTTCCTCACAGTGATGCTGCTGCTACTTTTCAGGAAGGTGAAGGGTGAAGCGGTGGGGAGGTCAGTGTGGTGTAGGCACACCAGCAGGAGTGCTGCATTGGCCTCTCCCATTCTGCTACTCAGTATGATGCACAAATGCCATTGATGGGAGGCCAGATGTATGGCACTGCCTCTTGTCTTCCAGCTGCTCCTGGGTGATATAGATAGATGGTCACTAGACTGGCTATATTCCTAACTTCAGTGCTCTCGTGGTACTTTACAGATCATTCCAAAACCTTTGCTCTCTCCTGAGGAATTTCCTTCACTCGGCAGCAGCGACCACCAAATAAAGCAAGACACTCCCACCTCTTAGCATCGTGTGGAGGTACAGCGCCAATCTTACCATGTGCCATGACTTCTGCTTCCCAAAAGGTGCAGGCAATGTGTGTAACAGGCAGACCACCTGAGAGTGCTATGCCTATTTGCATCCCATGCATGTGCAACGTTCCCCTGAGTCTGGTTGTGTTGTAGTAATCACATTATTTAAAAAAGCTAAAGGTAAAGGACCCCTGACAGTTAAGTCCAGTCGCAGACGACTCTGGGGTTGCGGCGCTCATCTCGCTTTAACTGGCTGATGTTTGTCCGCAGACAGTTTTTCTGGGTCATGTGGCCAGCCTGACTAAGCCACTTCTGGCAAAACCAGAGCAGCACACGGAAACGCTGTTTACCTTCCCGCTGGAGCGGTACCTATTTATCTACTTGCACTTTGACGTGCTTTTGAACTGCTAGGTTGGCAGGAGCAGGGACAGAGCAATGGGAGCTCACGTTGTTGCATGGATTTGAACTGCCAACCTTCTGATCGGCAGGCCCTAGGCTCAGTGGTTTAGACCACAGCACCCCATCACGTTATTTAGGACCCCCCCAAAACAGTTGTTGAGGTTTTTGCTTTTTTTTACAAAAAACGCCAGAAAAACATGCCTAAGATCCACTGCTTTTCGAATATTCCCCCCAGACATCAATTCCAATTTAGAAATCCCCGTAATGTCTGGGGAAATCCAGACCTGTGGCAGCCCTCCATTTTATCCCCTGCCCGTATGTTCTCCCACCCCAGCTGCATTAGTGAAAACAGTGGGAAGTAGCCATAAAGTGACCAGGTATAACTACAGAGTGTTGCTAAAGCACACTGAGGGCCAAACTAGACGTGATGTTAAATGTGAGGTGCTCGTTTCTCCCCAAAGGCAAATTGCATCAGCAGAGGGGTATAATATTTGGGATTGCAGAAGGCAGGGAGGAGTTTTAACTATCTTCTCCGCTGCTGTGGTCCTGAAAACCCCTCCTGCCCATTTGAAGTTGATATTTGCTTTCAGGGGATCCCACTCCCTGCACTGGCACCAATCCCTCTCTGCTGGTGCGTATCAGGGAAAATGTATGTTAATGCAAAGGCATATTTAACATCCCATCTAATTTGGTGCCAGTTGACATTTTCCGTGGATTTTGCATCTCAATTCCAGAATCTATTTCCTAGTTCAATTCTCATCAGCCTATATATGAAGGAAGCTAAGATCACTTTTCACTCTACATTTACATTAAATCTCACCTGTTGCCGCTTCATTCAGTTTGGAGAGCTCCAAAAGGCCTAGTTACAGTTCTCCATATTCCAATATTATGCACACTTCCTTGCCAGTAAACTGCATTGAACACAGTAGAATTTATTTCCAAATAAATCTGCATAAGCTGAGGCTTCACATTACTATATGAGCATCCACAGGTTATATTAAACAAGTGTACAGGACAATCAGTGTAGTTGTTCCACGATAGCTGATTCTACATTTGTAGTTATTTAAATGACATGGTTCAACAAATGTAAAGTCTATGTACCTGTGCCTTCAATAGCTGAGCTGTACAAATCAACAGCTGTATGCTCTTTCACACAAACAGCTGTGTTCAGTGTAGCATAGGAACAAGCCTCATGTGAGACTCTGATGCCTGTCTCTCTAGTCTCTGCCTTCCATTTTTCCCCTGCTTCCTCCGGGGTACTGTCATCAATACTCTAGTCTGCTGGTCTTAACTACATTTCCTTCTAACTAATCAGAATTCCCAGGGCAACAATTTAATCATTCCGCCACCAGTAACTCCTCTACCCTCCTTACACATGTGGAAATACAGCTGCTGGTGGCAAATAAAAGACTTTCTGTCTATTGCTTCCCCAGCCCAATTGCTTTAAACTCTTGCTTTCTCTAGAAACATTTCAAACAAAATGCACCTGTATGAATGGATGCATTGTAAATCCACACACTCTCTATGTGCATTTGCACATCTCAAGGCTTGGCAAAGCCCTGATTATTCGCTGCTCTGTTAACTCAGTTTAAAAGCTGCCTTAAAGATTAATGAAATTAACACAAGGCTAACGCTTTTGCCAAATCTCCCAACGGCAGCAACATCTTTTGCCAAGTGCTTCAGTAGGATGCTGGAATTTCCAGCATATGAAATTTGCTTTGGTTTCCCTACACAATGAACACAGGCCAGAGTCTAGAATCCAGAGGGAAGCTAGGAGAGAAATCCAGAAGAGCAAAGAGGTGAATTGATTTGTCTCACTTCAGCTATAATGATCAGATTAAGTATAACCACAGTTTACTCCTTTCTGAGCTGTTGCAGATAAACTCTTGTTATCTTGGGGCTAAACTAGACATGAGGAGGAGGAAGGGCCACAACTCAGTGGGAGAGTATCTGGTTTGCATGCAGAGTCCCAGGTCCAATCTCCAGCATGTCAAGGTACAGTTGGGTGAGCCTTCTTGTCTGAAATCATGGAGAGCTGCTGTCACTCAGGGCTCAGCCACACTCACCTTTTGCCCTGCACTTTCTAGGCATAGGTCTGTGCTTTAAAGCTCTGTGTCAAAGGGCTTTTTGTTCTTGCCCTGCTGCTTTGTCCAGGAAAACCGACTCTTTAATGCTGAAGCTACAGTCATGGCTTCCACTGTAATGCAAAGAGCAGAATGCAAAGAGCAGAGACAGAGTAACATCCTGATGTAAAACACACTGAAGGTGGAGGAAGCTCTTTGGGGGAGTAGATAGTAGGCAGGGTAATGCCAATTTTTAAAATGGGGGGGGGGATCCAGGACTCCAAGAGAGTCAGTCAAATACTGATCCCAGAAAAATTGTTGTCAACATTTTTAAGCCAGGCACCAAGGAGGACAAGCCTTGCTGAAGAAGAATCAGATTTCTACAAAGAGAAGTCATGCCTCATCAGTCTCTTAGAATCTTGTGAGAATATCTGCAAATGGATAAATATGATCTCATGGATAGTGTATATTTTAGAACTCTCAAAAGATGTTTGATAAAGTCCCAAGAATACTTTGCAGTCTGAGCATATGAGCATGGGGCCTTCTTATGGATCAGTAACTGATTTGGGGGAAACATGCACAGTGTGTTAAAACTCATGACAGTTTTGACAATGCTAGGAAGTAAACAGTGCCGGGAAGAGTCTGCCATGGATCAGTATAAAGGGCAATGCTATTTAAGATGCATACGTGACCTGGAATCAGAACTGGACTACACCAAGTTATTCAGGAGAGCGAAGCTCCAAACATATGGAGCAGCTTCAAAATAATAAATGAGTTAACTGAACAGCAGGTGAGGTTCAATAAATACAAAATGATGCAAATAGAGATTCCTGTGTCAAACACATTCACTAAATTACCACTGTCTGATCAGGCATATATATGAGTTGGAACCATAAGGCTATCCTCTATGACATGAGTACAGACACTATTCCAGGCCATTACAGTGCAAGGAGGCCTGTGCACACATCTCATATGCAACTGGCCCCTCTGCTTGGAGCTTGTGTTCCCTGATGCAGGGGAAGGGAAGAGGCCAGATGGTGATATGGCAGGAGCACACCAGCCTCCAATTCCCTGAGTGGATCAATTGTGTGCCTGCATCTGTGCTAGGAAACAAAGCTGTTTTGCTGAATAACAGGGATAGAGAACCTCCAGATCTTGTTGGACTACAACTCCCATCATGCCTGACCCCGGCCATTGGTTATGGGCCAAGACTCATGGAAGTCCAACGACATCTGTTGGGCCACAGGTTTCTCACCCCTGCTTTGCAGAGTTACTTCTGCCCACTGACAAGTCGCTGGCAGCGAATTGGACTGAACCTTATCCGAGTCGTTACAACCCCCTGGGGGAGCCAGCAACATCTTGACAGGCTTTTTGCACTCAAGAAAGAGTTACATCACTTTGCCAAAAAGGTAAGGTAATAGATTGGCATGGTTTAAGCAGGTACACATAATGAGGTTCTTCTCTTTCCTCCATCAGAAAACCCCCTCTGTTGTAAACTGCTCAATTGCTTTTTCGATTACTTGAAGATGATTTCAGAAAGCCCACAGCTACTCCTCCCCCACTTGGCCTCAAAAACAAGCTCATATTTAAATGAACAAATCCATCCTGCAGAGATTAAAACGAACTTTAATATTTCACAGCCTGGTATTTACATCGCATCCGAAGCAGGTATAACATTGTCTGTTACAAAAAAACGTTTAGATAACAAAGTCAGCAGGTCATACAGTCACAGCATGGAGGCCAGGCCAATGCCAAGTTGGACAGGTCAAGGCAGAGTTTTGAAGGTGCAGCTGTTTGCCCATTCTCTCCGGGAGCTCCTGACATCCATCTTGGTTGAGTTGGAGTCAGGTGTTCACTTTGGGTTATACTTAGCAAGGGTAAGCAATCATTCTCAGCCTCAGCCACCACCCTCCCCCAAGTCAAACCAATGAACCTTCATGATCAAGGTAGACATAATGAGACACAGACATGGAACATGTTTATGGATGCCAATTAGCTGGGAGCAGATCTCAACATTCCAATAGGAAAGATCAGCAATGACTTGTCTTTAAGAAACCCTAACCTTTCTGTTATATGCCTGTTCTAATGTGCTAAGTAAGCTTTGAATAAGCATTTCCACTTTGGGGCTTAGATGTCCTGTGCATCCAGAAACGATGAGAGAACTTCACCAAAGCTATGTCGTTTCTCTCTGTCTATTGTCTTCTCCTACCCATTCCTAAAACCTTGTCAAATCCCACTGAATTAAAGTGGATCCTCTCCTCCATTTATATCAGCAGAAGCAGCAATGGCATCATAAGCTGGGAAGTTTAACTTAGTTCTCATAATATTTTCTTGTGAGGAGGTATAAGAGCAATCAATTGGTCCCTGAGAGGGATCTGCACTCATTACAGTTGCCAAGTACAAGTCTTTATTTAATACTAAATGTAACTAAGCTCTCTCAGTTCTCTGAGTAAAATTTAAGACTGTAGCAGACACAACATAGCAAAGAGAAGAACACACCTTCCCCCTCGCAATTTCTAATATTTGCAATAGAATTCTGACAATAACAGTAATTTGTGTGACTTTGAAGGAACAGAAGAGATGAGAGTATAAGCCTGATTAATTACTGAACAGGAGAGGGAAAGACCAGGAGAGAACATTTTTGGTGACTCATGAAAAAGAAAGAGAAAGCATTATGAATACTTGTTCTCATCTCTTGTGCTTCCAACAAAGTGTAATGAACTTCTGTCTGTACTGTAGATTCTTCCATCCGTCCAGGTACAGAATCTGAAGCTGGTAACTGGGTAAATGTTGGAGCAACTGCATGGTCTTTCTTGGAGTTCCTCTAGTTTCACAATTTGGTTCCTTGTTTCCAGAACTCAAAGCCTGTCTTCTATGAAAGCGACAAAAACATGAATTGGGAAGATTTTGTAAAAACACGAATTTTATTTTGAATTGTGAACTTGACACCCACTCGACACCTTGATTCTCTTTAGTGATCATCAGAGCCAGCCTACAGACACAGGAGAATTCAAAGGAAGGAAAATTGCTTTCCCCCACTTTGTAGTTATCAACAGATTCTATGCAACTCCAATATTTAATTGAGCACTAGGGGAAGAAATACGTTCTTCTCTTTTGCAGGTATATCCATGGTATGGAAGGAGAATGTGGAGCAGTTCTTGTAACTGCATTGTAGACTTAGTAGCAGCTGATGGTTAAATACCTTAGAGGCTGCACTGAATCAGTGGTTGATGCAGTATTTTATCTTCAAAAACAAGGGAAATTTCCCAAGATCCCTGCCCAGACAGGTACGTCACCCCTTTCCTGTAATCCTTGGTGCTGTTCTTCCAGGAGGGAGCAAACTGCAGCACCACTCCCTTGGCAGGTGTACACGAGGAAGAACAATAAAGTGCCCATGAAAAATAGGCATCCTATACCACAGTTGCATCCTATCCTGTGCCAATGAGGTCCTTCTGTTTCCAGGTCTTCAGAACATAGAAGGAATATCTTGCACCTGGAGAAAAGCCACGTCGTGCCATTTCTGCAGTGCCAGCCATGTCAACACAGATGCATATCAGATGAGAGCAGATCTTCTCAAATCTACCTTGTCACCTGGGAACAAAGGAAAATGCATTAGACAGATATCTGGTAATCTAAGGAATTATCTCTGATCCAGAACCTCCTGTGCATCCCAGTGCATACATAGAGCTCTTGCATGAATGGGCTTTCCTTGCAGGTGAAGTTGCCCTGCATTGAAAAAGATGCACTGAGAGTCTGCAGGAATAGAGAGGATAAGTCGACCATTCCTATTCAGCATTCAGAAGACGTCTAACAAGATTTTGCAGACCTGTTCCTCATAAGATAACCGATCCCCCAAACATTTTTCTTTCATTTTGTGGGGAGAAGAAAACATTCCATAGGAGTGAGCTCACTGAAACATGTAATTTTCAGAAGTCAACAATTCTGGAAGCAAACGGAGGGGTGGGGAGGGAGGAGACAAGCCAAAATGTTTACGTAGGAAAATCATATCAAAGTTATTTAAGCAAGCATATGGTTGCATTCCGACATGAATTTCAGTCCACGAGGGAAGGTTGCGGTACATCAGAATTATTTGATGATGATGATGATGATGATGATGATTAAATTTGTGTACCGTCCTTCATCCATAGAAATACCAGTTAAAATACCAGCATAAAAATACCAGATAAAACCACAAAATACATAGCCATGTTAATATGTTGCAATTTAAGAGGGCAACCTTGCCAGATCACTTCATAGGCCCATCTAGGTTAGCATCCTATTCTTACAGTGGCCTAGCAGATGCCCATAGGGAGCCCACAAGCAGGGCATGAGTGGAACAGCACTTGCTCCAGCTGCAATCCCCAGCAACTGGTTTTCAGAGGCACACCACCTACAACAGTACGCAGCCATCATGACTAGCGGTCACAGACGGTCTTATCCTCCACAAACCTGTCCACCTGCTTTGAAAGCTGGTGCAAAGTGGTAGCAAATTCCAAAGTTTGACTACACGCTGTCCTGAATCTTCCAACACTGGATCATCCTGGGTTTTAGTAAGAGACACTGACAGCTTCTCTCTATATTTGCTCCATTTCCCCACCTTACTTGTCTTTTCTCAAAATTAAAAACCCCCAAACATTGTAACCTATTCCCTTAGGGAGTTGCTCCATTTCCTGGATAATTTTGTTTGTCACAACAATGTGTATAGCAACATCTTGGCAGTGTTTATTTTCAATCCCTTTGCTATTTTCATGGCTGCCACACACAGGTTCAACATTTTCATAGAGATATTCACCAAGAACCTAATATTTCCTTTGTGATCAATCACAGCCAATTCAGGCCCTATAAGTACGTATGTGAAGTTAAGATTATTTGCCCCAACAGAGTACTGTGGTAGCAGCATGTTTATGTGGTTGGAGAACTGGACTAGAACGAGGAAGGTCCAAGTTCAAACTCTCTCTCAGTCACAAAGATCACTGGGTGACTTTGGACCAGTTACCATCTCTCAGCCTCATTTACCTCACAGGGTTGTTGTGATGAAGAAAGGAGGCGAGAACCATGTAGAGTGCCTGCAGCTTCTTGGAGGAAGGGCAGGAAAACAACTGAGTAAAAGGATTTTTAAAAAAGAAAAGCTAACCTTATTTATAATCACATGAGCTTTTATAGGCAAGTTCCTGTTTTCTTAGATGCATTAAATCTTGTATTGCAGGGGGTTGGAGTCCCTTCCAACTCTACAATTCTATGAAATCAGGGATGAGGAAACAAACAAACTGGCCCTCAGGTCTCTCCAAGGCCATATACCTTGCTTAGGCCAGACCCCTCTGTGGGATGGCCCTCTGCTATGACATCGTCATGTCCTTTTGACTGGCTGGAATATATCCTTTGACTGTGATCATGCCTCTTGCCTGCCTGGATGGAGAGATGTGGTATGTGTGTGTGTGTGTGTGTGCGTGCGTGCTGGGAGCTCTGGTTTCTGCGTTGCTGGAATGTAACCCACTGGATGTAAGAATCACCTCTTGGTCCACCCACTTTTTATTCCGGTCCTGCCAGCTCTGCCACTGTCTGCTGAGAGGTAGGTTCCAGTCTATGAAAACTTGGGCCACAATAACTTTGTTAACCTTTAAAGCGCCTCAGACTCTCAGTGGCTTATTATATTTATGAAGGGGAATCAGTCACCAAATCCCAGAGATCAATGTAGGGATCAATAAAAAGCCAGCCCTGGAAAAATATCATTGACATTTGAAAGTGACAGGTTCAGCCCCGTAACAGCAGCCTGCAGAATCACTCTCAGCATTGGAAAGGCACACAAATCCAACCTGATGCAACTTCGTCTCTTAAGGCAAGATCCTCCATCCACCAAATGAACATGATCCTACAGTGGGTTTGCAAATGGGTGCAAAATAGTCTACTCCTGTGATTGTCTGCTTGGCCTCTGCTCCATACCCTCAAGCCATGCATTTTTTCTTGCATGCATATAGACAAAGAGGGGCAGTGAAAGACAGCCAAATCTTTCAAATCTAAAATGCCTACTGTGCACCTAAGATTGAAGAGCAACAGCTAAGGATATTTGGGGGGAGTGGGGAAAGATTTATTTGGGGCAGGCCAAAATGGAATCTGTCCAAAAATGCATAACATGTTAATTCTTTCAAGTACCTCAAGGCTTCCAGTTCCAAGATTACCTTAAGTGACCTTTTTAGCAGCAGAGGTGCTAGGTATTATTATTATTATTATTATTATTATTATTATTATTATTAAGCATTCTTTAGCATTCATCTAACATAGCTACATTTACATGACTCTGCCTGCAGAGAAAACATAGAGTGTGTAAGCCTTTCAAAATAATTTAAAGCAAGTGTCTGCATTTTACAAGAGAAATCATTAAGAGAACCTCTGCGGAGGGGAGGGGGTAAAAGAGAAAGGTGTGCCCGGCATGCAGGCAATAATTTATATTAAGCCCAGAGCCTGCTTTTCTTTGCTGCCATGTGTCCTATGTGCACGGTAAATAGTCTAAACAAATTCTTAAACAGCAGCCTGAAAATTGTGTCTTGGCTTTGAGATGCTGGGTTATTCCAATGGCTGTGGATGATTTCATAGTCTTCAGATGTACCGAGCCCTATTTACCCATTACAATGTCCTTTCTTATGGATTTCACAGTAGGACTAGCGATTTCTGTCAAGGCAGCCATCAGAGCTGTGGATGCATTTGAAATTTTGCTATTTAAATTCTATCCCTGCCCTTGTGTGCATGCCAAACAAGAGACACATTTCAGCAGGAACAATTTAGCAAATCCATTGCAAAAATGGCAAGGAGATCAAACTGAGAGCATCAGAGAGAGAGAGAAGCTCAATTTGTACGCAGCAGAGACCCACAGCTTAGGGGGGAAGATATGCTTATTATTTAACTGCCCATCCAGTAATACCATAGCGGTTAGATCCCAGGCTTCAAAGTGGACAGAACAAACAGAGGCGGTTCGCTTTAATGCAGAGGCTGAGATGACCAGATTGAGAAAAGCAACTCACGTTGCTCTTTGAAGGCACATAGAGATAAGGAAGGGCAAACCCTCATTCATTTCCCAGACAAAAGTCACAGGGTGCTTCCAGACAGTTGCTTACTTTGCAAGCAGGTCACTGAGATACTGCAAACCAGACATTGGCATCAGAGGGTATTTAAAAAAATAATAATTCATCAGCTATCCCCCAGAAAGGGCAAATCCAGATTAAATTAGACCTTGTGTGGATGTTGCAAAAAAACACCAGACCCAAATAATCCCCAATCTGGTAGTACCCATGTTCTACGGCGGGGATACAGAGCCTGGGGCCCTTTGAATGTTGTTGAACTCCAGCTCCCAGCAGCCCCAGGAAACATTGCCAATGGTCAGGGATGATGGTAAGTGGAGTCCAGCAACATCTGGAGCACCACAGGTTCCCCATCCCTGCTCTATGGTATCCAAATGCTTAGTGCAGACAAATATTGCTTGTGTCTTTAAAGAAGTAATATGGGAAACCGTTCTCCAGGAACTGCTGAAGGCGGCAGGAGTGTCAAGAGGTTCAACTGAGCAGTGCCTTCGTGACGACTGGTTTCTTCCTTGTCACTGCAAATCACATTCAGCCCTAAGAGAATACATCACCTGTCCTCTTCTTCAGCCTATTCAGAACTTGCTGTTTTCCTGCCTCCCTGCAGTCTCATCAGACTACACTTTGTTCCTTCTGTCCTGCTATTTCTGTGCAGCAGGCACATAAGCACCAAAGCCCTTCCTACACCCACACCCACCCACCCACACCCATGGTTGTGGTATGGGCTGCCCCAAGCAATAAAGACTAGGGTTGGGTTGGATTTCTGCAGTATGTCTCTGGAATGTGAAAGATGGATCAAGGCATTAGAGCTACGGGGGGGGGGGGGGCAATGCTACAAGAAGGAAAGTGCGCTGTTTCCTGTTGGAGGGGGGAAGCCAGAATGAGAGCCTGGCTGTGGGCCAAATGGGTTACTGCCAAGTGCTCCACATTCTGAGAGCACAAAGGGTGCGTGAATGATGTCAAATTGTAACACTGCCAGGAAAAGTGGGGAGCAAGCAAAGGGGAAACAGATAACGAAAGGTTGGTGGTGCGAAGTTGCTGTGATTGATTACTCAGCAGCATTTTGATTCCTGAGCCAACGGAGGCTGCTCTGATACTTCCTCCCTCTCTTCTTCTTCTTTTAAAAGCTCTTCAGTGTGAACATGCTATTTGCCGAGTAAAAGATAAGGAAGGAACAACAGGCTGCTATTTTGCAGGATAATTTTATGGGGTGTTTGCGTGGAAAGGAGATGGAAGCACGAAGCAAGCAAAGCCTGAAGAATAATTATGCTCCACTGTATGAACAATGATTACAAAATTATGCAACTGATTAACCATGACATACATGTAATTACTAATGAGTTTGATAAAATTTTAATTATACCTTGTTCTTCAGGGTATTCAGCAAGCCATGAAAATAATAATCATGTAGCTCTCTGTCACAGATGATTGCTCCAACTGGAGGAGCTGTGACAGGCTGGAAAGTCCTTGGCTGGAACGTGATGCAAAGCAGAGGGAAGTGGCTGCAACAAGCCAAGGCTGGCAGGCGTCTTACAGGCAAACCATCCTCCACTATTGTATTTCTTGGGATACTGGGAGGAGTTTCATCTACACACTTAACCGCTCTTGCATAAGATGCTGTTGCTAAACACCCATTAGAAGGGGAGACCTCAAAACCCATTTCCATCTACTGGCTCACGTTCGCTTTGACTGTGCAACTGATGACTCACTCTACTCATCCACTTCTTACTTTGTCACTCTGCTATTGAATGCTATGCTAGATATACAGGATTAATCTGGAAAGAAACTTGTTTGAATGAAGTCATCTCCAGCGGATAAAAATAAAAGGTTTTGAGTTTCTGGGGAAATGATATTTAACTCAGATGAAGTGAGAAGGTTCATTTTTAAAGAGCATACTTCCCCCAATTCCCTCTTAAATTTTCTTTTCTGCTGCTGTGTAAATTCTGATGAGAGTTGCACTTTCAAATCACTCCTAATAGCAAATAAAACCTGCCAACAGGTCCGCACAAAAATGGGGCCACATAGAAAGAAGAGGGGGTATCAGTGGGTATTCAGGTTTCCCCAAGGTTTGAAGAAGCACAAGAAGTACTGTTGTAAGTTTTTTGGGGGGGCAAGGATCCCCTAAATTCCTAGGCGCCAGATCCTCCCCATAATTCCCAGATTTAGTAAAAGTTGGAATTAATCAAGGTTTGATTAAACTGTGCCAAGCACTGCTGGGTTCAGCATACACTAACTAGCCAGTCCAGCCTGGCATAGCTAGCTGAGTGTGGGTCATTGGCGGAACAAAGCTGATGATAGCCAAGTCTTAAACCTTACAAGAGATGGGCCATCAGGAAATTCAGCGCCAGACAGCAAGGTGAAGGGAGCTCCTCCTCCAGCTGTGTGTCAGTGGGCAGAGACAAAAGGGATTGAAAAAGGTTTAGGATTTCAGTTTGGCCTGACATAAGCGAGCAGGAAGATCAGTTTGGAGTTTGCAAGCTGCAGAGAAAGTGGAGTCAGAGCACCACATGGGCTGACAGGCAGGAAAAGGGACATAGAGCATGGCTTTTTGCTATTTTGGATCTAAGACTGCTGCACCTATGGGAGAAGCAAGAGACCCTCTTGGGGGCGTGCCTGGCATCTCTGGAATTTCACACCACTCAGATTGGGATGGTGTGTAACAGTACTAAGGGAAAAAACTTAAAAGATCAACCACCCACCCAGAACAGCACAAGGAGAACTGATCCTGCTCATTAACCACAGAATGCTGAGTGTCTGTTGGGAGTGAGGGTAGAAGAGAAAATCAGGGGTGGGGGGGGAATAGAATGGAGTATCCTGGAAGATGGACTGACTGGCTGGAACTTCACACTGCTGGAGCAATCCACACTACATTGTGTTGCACATCCCACTTTTGAGTAATAAACAGGAAAATTCCCATTTTGAACAAAAATGACTTTGTTCAGAATGTGTCCGAGCATTAGAAAAAGTAGTTCCGATTACATGTTTTGACTACATTTAAAATAAAAAAAGGAAATATAAGGAACTAAACAACCCTGTAACTGAAGCAACAATGGCACTCTAAAGTTTCTCAGAGTAGCTTCAGACTTGATGGACAAGGATCTCGGGTAGGTGTATGAAGAGTCTTGTGGTTCCTGTCTCCATGTAATCTAATTTGATTTTTTTTTTTGTCGCATGAAACTGTATCGAGGTCTCTTAAAACGTGCTGCAGTGTGAGCTGTGGATCTCCACTGCCTTCCTGAAATACAGCTGCTTCTTCTCTTCTTCCCTTCCCAAACCTCCTGCCATTGCACTGGCCACGGCGATCCTTTTTTAGGTACCGTATTTTTCGCTCTATAACACGCACCTGACCATAACACGCACATCGTTTTTAGAGGAGGAAAACAAGGGAAAAAACATTCTGAATGAAACAGTGGATGTATCATTTTTGTGCTTCATGCTGTGGCCACAGACATGTGATCTGATGGTGAATTTGGGGTGACCCAATGCAAAAATCCTGAGAATCCCTGTGGATCCATGCTTTGTAACCACGTTTTTGCACCATTGCAGCCCCAGGCAACAGTGGGTGTGTGATTTTTGGGGGGCAGGCTGTAGCCATGGACATGCTATGTGCTCCTCTGATGGTGAATTTGGGCTGACCCAATGCAAAGATCCTGAGGATCCATGTGGATCCATGTTTTGTAACCACGTTTTTGCACCATTGCAGCCCCAGGCAACAGTGGGTGCGTGATTTTGGGGGGGCAGGCTGTAGCCATGGACATGCTATGTGCTCTGATGGTGAATTTGGGGTGACCCAATGCAAAGATCCTGAGGATCCATGTGGATCCATGTTTTGTAACCACGTTTTTGCACCATTGCAGCCCCAGGCAACAGTGGGTGCGTGATTTTTGGGGGGCAGGCTGTAGCCATGGACATGCTATGTGCTCTGATGGTGAATTTGGGGTGACCCAATGCAAAGATCCTGAGGATCCATGTGGATCCATGTTTTGTAACCACGTTTTTGCACCATTGCAGCCCCAGGCAACAGTGGGTGCGTGATTTTTGGGGGGCAGGCTGTAGCCATGGACATGCTATGTGATCTGATGGTGAATTTGGGGTGACCCAATGCAAAGATCCTGAGGATCCATGTGGATCCATGCTTTTTAACCACATTTTAAGTGGGGAGGGAAGGAAAAACACAGAACGGACAAGGAGCAGGAGAGGGGTGTGCAGAGAAGCAGCTGGCTAAGAATGCAGGAGAGGGGTATAACGGGAGGGAGGAAAGGAAGGCAAAAGTTTTCCCTCACCTACCCACCCAAGTCAGCCAGCTCGCGCGCGCGCTCTCTCTCTCTCTCCCTCCTGCATGTTTTCAGCAGCACAGAGACGACACTCTGCTTTCCCGGAGGGGAGGGGCTTTCCCTGCTCTTTGTTCCGTTTGAGCAAACACAGCAAGGAAACAGAGGAGGGTGGGCAGTAAGACCCTGAGGCAGAAGGCAGGAAAGCAGCCGCTCCGCTTCCTCTTTTCAGGTTTCCCTTCTCCGTGAAGCGCGATTTGATTTTTGCCTGCTTTTTTTTTGCCTCCACTCGAGCCATTTGGCTCCAGGGACCACACATTCGCTCAATAACACGCACAGACATTTCCCCTTCCTTTTTAGGAGAAAAAATCTGCGTGTTATAGAGCGAAAATTACGGTATATAGCAACTGCCTAACAAATACACAAAGAAGTCAGATATCCATTGTCACTTATCTGAAATCACTTTGAACTGAGATCTTTATGACAGGTGGTCAGGAATGGACAAGATGCATTGTGGGGCTCTTGAACCATTATATGCCCTGAACATACTGTTTTTTATTTGGCCTACCAGATATTATGAAATAGAGTCAACTATTTGAAATAGATTCAAAGCATCACAATTGTCATTCACAAAATCATGCGCTATGTGAATCTCATAAAAAGGATCACAACAATGCCCTCTTGGGGTGTGTGTGAGAGGAGGAGCATTATTTGACTCGGCCTTCTCTCACCCATCTTGGATTAGGAATACCTTGGTGGTCTTTACTTTGTTTCCAGTACTGCAGCTCCATCCGGACAAATCTGGTAGCACTTTACACTCTTCTCCTTCTACACATGGTTGCATTTGGCACCACCACTTCTGAAGCACTATTGAGGCTAGGAGAAAACGAAAGGCATAGGACTTTAAAAGCAAAGCAAAGCAATGACACCAGACTGGACACTACAGTTATTTACTCCTCAGGAGAAAGTGTATGCAGTGAGTGAAGTGGATCATCTCTTTGTGGCAGCAAAAGGCCCCAATATAAACAGAAACTAAAAGAAACGTTGACCATAATCTTAAATATTAACAGGTCAGCTCCAGAGTAGACCAATATGAACACTCAAGTCAATTCTCTTTAATTCATTCATTCATTCATGTTGCCGTTGCTGTTGTTATGATTATGAATTTCTATACCACTTAATATCCAAAAAATTCCAAGCAGTTTACAATCAAACATAAAGCATCAAACACAACATTGCAAAATATGAAAATAAGACAATGCTAACAAAGATCAAATGCAAGATGCACATTTAAGGCAGCATGGTTAGCGGGAAAACAAAATATCCTCTTAAACATATTTTTTTTAAAAAGGCGCAGGAGCATCACTGCATCTTCACACATCCCAAGGATGGAGTGCTGGCTGGTACTACAATCGAACCCAGCAGCCCCAAAGCATATTTTATTAGTTGTTTCTCTACCCACTATAGGGGCCATCCACCATGCCAACCTGCAGTGCAACACTGGAATAATTTGAAGGCACAGGTCATAAGAAAAGCTCATCTCATTATCAACCCAAGTTCTGCCACAAACATGAGCAAAGTCAGAAGGATCATCAGGTAAATCGTTCAGGGCCAGAGAGGAAGAAATGTAATGAAAGAGCAGCAGTGTTCCATTCAAAAGGGAGGTGTGGGGATTGAATGAGCTTGGCAGGAAGTGCACACCATGACAGAATTGGTGGGAAGAGTTGTCTTGGTGAATTAGGGCTTCCCTGGCTCCTGACAGTTTCAAAGACAAAATACATGTTAATGACAAATGTGCAAGAGCAAGAAACCTTGAGAGGCTAGCTGAAACAGAGATGATGTACCTAATGGTGCCAGGGCCCTAATTTAAAATCAGAGTGAGGTCTGCTTCTCTCAAGTTCTTTCTGACCTTAGACATCGGGCTAAAGTCAAAGGTGGCATTGTAGGAGATCAAAACTGCAGAGCCTGATTTTGCTTGGCCTGTCATCTTATTCTCAACTCAGGACAACAGAAAGGCTAAGAAAAAAGAAATGGAAAGACTTGGAAGAAGGAAGAGACTGGCCCAGACATGCACAGGCAGCTGTGAACCTCAGGTTCACATTCTCCACTTTCTTCTCCCAGCATAGTCACTTTAGCTTCCAGTTTTAAACTAGTCAAAACCTTGCATTACATCCCAGCTGGGAGAACACTGTTTAAATTCTGGTTTGTTAACAAACCTGGATCATAAGCCATGGTTTGCTACTGACTTGTTTAAACCAACCATAGTTAAGACTAGATATGTTTCAAATATTTACACCCAGCCAAAATGTTTTGGTGGTTTCAGGAGGCCTTTGGGAAAGAGGAGAACAACTTTCAGGATTGGTGTACTTAGTAAACTTATTAAACTTAGTAAACTTACAACTATACAAGGTGATCCAAGAACTTTTCATCCATTAAAAAAAAAAAAGATAAGAGGAAATCAAAGCAGCTAGGATGCCCAGGTGCCACCATACATTCTAACAACAGGACAGGAATATCCATGGAAATGATGCATGGGAAACACATGGCCCTGCCTGCAGGTATTCTTGGATCCCCACCTCCCATCAGCTGTAGCCAGCATGATGAATGGTCAGGGATGATGGGAGTTGGAGTCTAACATCTGCCTTAAGTTCTCCATCCTTGGGTTAACATTACATTTGAAAGACTGCATTGGGTCCTGGAACTTGTCCAGAGTGAGTAGCAGGTGCAATTCGGGTAAATACTTCTGTGAATGTTGATACAATTCTAGTTCACAGCCCAAGTACACAGGACTGATTGATTAATTAATTAATTTTATTTAAACTATTTGTCAGCTACCATTCAGCCAAAGCTCGCTGAGCAGCTTACAGAACTGTAAGTACACAGCAAATAACAATCAAAACGAATTCACAGCAAGCAGTTAAATTATATATATTGCTGAGATATTTTTTCTTTCATAAACTTTATATACAACTTGGTTGTTTAAAAAAGCTTCAAGGTGGTTTATAAAACAGATAAAACAAAATTACCAAGAAGAAATAGAACAATAATTCATTTTTTTTCATGAAGTTAAATAACAATAGACTAAAAACAGATAAAAACTGCAAAATCCTGGGACAACAAACAGGTTTTCAGCTGGCACTGAAAGAAAACCTGGAATGAATATTAAAATGGCACCAAGGGAACTTTCCTGGTAAGGGATTTTAAAGGTGTGGTGCCTCAGCTGAAAAGACCCAAACCCCTGACTTGTTTCAGATGGTGGAGAAATTGGGAGCAGGTCTTTTGAGGCCAATCTAAAAATCATGCAGGAGTAGGGCTGTACTTTGGGAGATAAAAAAACTTCCTAGTTCTGCACATTAATTCTTCAGGATGCATAGAAGAAGAGATCTCACTCGTTCAGAGGCTGGAGGTTGCCAATCAAACAGCAGGTTTCCACTACTGGGAAAAGAAAAGGCCAGTTTCACTGAGGGGATGAAGTTTTTATTCTCTGAGCCAATTACTTTTCCCCAAAATCCAGCAATAGCCAGAGTTTGTTGTGCCAAATCCATTGGTAATTCAGAACCTCTCTTCTGTGGTGAGTGAAAGTAACTCCTCTTCCATCTACCCACACCGCCCTGCAAGAACCGGCTGTTGATATAAATCAACTGAAAAGGGCCCTGAAGCAAAGTGAAAAGAAGACTCTCCTGACAGAGAACTCTCTGTAATCTGAATAATTGTTTTTGTCTTTTTTAAAAAAATTTTTACAACAGAGCTACTTGCATCACAAATTATGTGATAGAACCACTATCCCAGGTTATTTGGAGGGTGATCTAACTAACTGAGGAAAGCGGCCATAGCTCTGTGAGACAAAGGGTCTGTTTTCCACAGAGAAGGTCCCAAGTTCAGTATCTGGCGTCTCAAGGCAGGGCTAGAAAGACACATCTTTGAAATGTTTCACAGCCATATCTAGTAAGTGTCAACTATACTGCGCTAGATGGACCACTGGTCTGACTCAGTATAAGACAGCGTCCTATGTAATGGGAACATTTCAGGTCAAGTGAATAGTCTTTCTGCTATTCTGAGACAGTATGGAAGGGAGTAATGATGTCATTTAGGCCCAATATGTACAACACATTTAAAGCAGTATCATGCCACTTTAAACAGTCATGGCTTTCCCTAAAGAATCACAGGAACCAAAGTTTGTAAAGAGTGCTGAGGTATTGTTGAGATGCCCATTTGTCTCATAGAGCTACAACTTCCAGATTTCTCTGGGAAGAGGTGGTCCTGTAGCTAGGTGGGGCACCCACATTTCTAGGTGGGGCATTTATTGGACTGTGGAGGCACATATAGCACCAGTCAACCCTGTGCCCATATTCACTGGTGGAGGTTGTGAGCGCCAGGCCAGGGGAAGGGAGAGGCAATGACCTCCTCTCACACTCATCTATGCAGAGTGTGTTAATTCACATAATGGGCTACGTAAAGGCCAAGTTAACAGAAAATTTAGTAAGAACACCAGGATGACTGCCAAACGAACACCAGAAAATGCAATGCAAGCAAAAGTTTGTGCTATAACTAAGAAACTATAAACAAGTGTGGAGCATGTTTTTGTTATTGTTTAAAAAAAGTTTTAAAACTGCAATGCGAAAAGAATAAAACCAGGTTTAGAATCAAGCAAGAGCATACTGCAGTGCAATGTTAGGGAGAACGGTGCTTCAGAATAATATGCCTAAATTTCTTGTTGAAGTCCATGAGTCTGAGTCTTTAAATTTGTAGTACAGTGTACTGTATTTACCGCACAATATGCTTCCTTTTGTAAACTTATAAAAATGCTTGATAAACATTTGAAAAAGCTTTTGAATGGTAAGTTCACCTTTTCAGCGATGAGAACCAATTCTCCCCTGCTCATCATAACCACAGAATAACAAACTTATTTCTTACTGCAAGCAAACAAACATGCTTCTTTTTTTGCTGGCTGTGTAGAGAACACAACTGAAACTGAAAAGCAGAGCAAAGTCCAAGGGGTGGAGTCTAACTGTGGCCCACAATACAAGATACAATACTAATAATTGACTCTTCTGTGGTCATGTTACACTAGAGACTGTTTTTTCAAGATAGGGTGATGGTGTGATAGGATGATTGTTATAACGAAAAGTCCACCTTTAGCCAGGGAAAGTCTTGAGTGAGCAGGGTTGTTTTGGGGGTGGGGGTTTGGGGCTGGCCAAGGGTGAAGTTTGTTGCTAACCCAAGCTAGACTTCAACTTCCAACCTAGAACTTGTATTGCTGACAGCTTTAACCTAAGCAGTTAAAATGATTCTGATCATTCCCAGAAGTAATAGCTCAACCAATGGTTTGAAGGATGAGGTGACTGGGAGATATGAACCGTATTTTATATTGTATTAGAAATCTTTTTCTGCTTTCTTAGCACTTTTAATTGCTGAGGTATGTAGAGCATCCATAAGAACTTTATGTCTGGGCTGCAACCGATGCGGGCACGATAATTTCTGTGAAATTCCAGTGGATAATTTCAGGGAAACTGCTTTGTTCACAAAATAAGAAGCACCTTTGTGAGGCTGCTTGGGGATGCAGCCTTTCATGGGAATTGTATCCTGTGTTTTTTAAGTAGTTTCTTGGCATCATGTACAAATCCATTTGCACCAGCCAAGCTGCCAAGCCGATCAATAATGCACCAGCAGAGGCTTCCAGCCACTTCAGATAGATCCAGAATGACACAGCTCAATAAAATATAGATGGGGGTGGGTGGGTTAGTGCTTTGCACAGGTGATTAGACGGCATGTTCTTATTCATGCTGGTAGCACTTACACTGCAGAAACAGGTTTTTCTAAGTAAAATAAAAATAAAAATAAATCAACAATAGACCTTAGAACCAGTCTTGGTTACTTGGTTGCTGACTAAAAAATAAAATAAAGGAAACAGAGCCCTGTAAAGTGAGCCCCTTTCAGCGTTAAACTAAGGAAGATTCATACAAGAGCATTAAATATTGGTTCGGAGTTTGAAACTGAGCAAATCAACCCACAAGTCATTTATCTCTAAGTAGTCTTAGTGATTTATCTTTCAGAATAAGTATGGAACCTTCGTGTTGAGGGGCAAAATGCAAACTAAATAAATTGACAACAGTGCCACATATAACCAATTAACCAAGCCATGATTGTGTTAAAAACCTTTGGAGCTACAAAATTCTGAAATACCACCCAGTGGTTCCTTCTTTGTCACATCCCCTACCAATCATATATGCTGGAGTTCCATGATCTGTATTCTCTAGAAATGTAGGCCCTGTTTTGCGAGGGAGAAGGGAAGAAGAAGTGCACTTGAAATTATAATTATATACCAATTTCCTTTATTTTTTAAAAAAGCATTTTGGATATAAGAGTAAGGATCTATGGGTCCCATGGGAGGGCTGTCTATAGTCTACTGTACTATTGACAAAAATGATGGAAAAGGTCAGTCTTGTTGACTTCTATCCCACATGTGACTCCCTTCCCTTTAGCAGCAAAAGTGTTGGTGGTCTTGGTTTTCCAGGAAGAGCAGGGGTCTCAGTTTTCTAGGACGAGCATGTCTGGCCAATGCCAATATCCATCGCAGTCAAAAACAGAGGTGGTCCACTAGTCTAGAATTTCACAAGTACTGAATCCCAAATCAATTACCTAACAATGAATTATCCTGAGAAGTTTAAAGAATGGTTGCAAAGATATGCCTGAAAACACATCACTCCAAGAAGGTCCCCATGTGCAGCCAGTGGATAGAGCCTTAGATCTGGATGAGGCAAACTGAGTTCAAAACTCAAGTTGTGCCCTCTTGACTGCTGTACCCAGACTGTGAAAATGAAACAACTAACGAGTTACTTCAAGGGGACATTTTTAAGAGTGAATGAATTCCAAATCCTAGCAAGAAGTAATGATGGGCCCTATGACTCTGTCTCCCTGGGACAGCATACATAGTTCCCCATGCTCTACCAGTCTGCCTTCAGTCTCTGCTCTTGCAATGGTGTTGTGGCTTTTGTTACTAGTTCAAAACCATGAGGGGGGGATGGCAGCTTTAATAGGGAGAAGCCAACTCCAGATGTGAAGAGTAAAGAAGGAGCATGAAAGAAAAAAGCCTTTGGAGATGGTGTAGTGGTCAGTGTCTCAAGCTGGGACCTGGGAGACCAGGGTTCAAATGCTAACTCACCCATGAAGCTCACTAGGTGACCTTAAGCCAGTCACTGTCTCTCAGCCTAGCCTACCACACAGGGGTGTGGTGAGGACAAAAGGGAAAGGGGGAGAACCATGCATGCCACATTAAGCTCCTTGAAGGGAATGTAGAATCAATAAGTTGTTTTTGTGCTCCTTTTTGCACCAAAAATGTTCACTGAAGAACATGCAGCTCAGCCCAAGACCTCAACCATTTTGATGTGTTAGGTTGCAATCCTAACAATGTGTACTCAGAAGTAAGTCCCACTGAAGTGGGTCATGATTGCTGCGTTAGCCTTAACTATCTCTCTCTGCCCCTAAGTGGTGCCTGCACCCCATACAGATGGTTTGGTGCTGGCACAAATTCAAAACTGGGGTAAGAAATTGGAGCGCCACTTAGGCAGTACTGCTGACTACTATACAAAGTGATTTGAAGCTGTGCAAACCTGGATTGACATGGCTTGCTTGGTGACGATGGCTGAATTACTAACTTCTTGATCCTGAAGATATTTATGTTTATTTGAATGTGACTTTATTCAAAGCGAATCAAGCTGTCGGGGCCAGTTTCTCAAATGCACATCCATCAGCTGTCAAATGATAATAATAAATTCTACCCATTTGAAAAGTGTGTTGTGCTTTCATAAGAACCCGGTAAGAGCAGAAGATTATTTCTGATTGCAGCTAAATATACAGCTGATTTTGCTTAAACTACGAAGCCAGAAGTATCCAATGTAAATCTCCCAGCAGGCACACCTAACTAGAATTAAGGCTAGGGGTGGAGCTCTTAATCCATTCAACAGCAATTTCCAAACGCAAATGCACACTTTACAGAGAGACCTGCTCACTTACCGTCTACACATGAAGGAGCAGCGTGCGTCGTCCCAGCCACCTGACCTGGAAAGCAGGAACATTTCACTGTTTGTGAGCGCTCCTCAATCTTGTTCTTATTGCAGCACCTGTGAGCAGCGATGACTTCACATGTGCCAGGCTCTATGTGCACTGCAAGGAAAAAAGGGACAGCAAATTACACAGGGATGTGGTAGTCAAAGGGGATTGTGTGTTTGTGTTACAGCAGCAGCAAATGGGCCATACGATGCTGAACATATGGTGATACATTCTAGAGGAATGATCAGGCCGCAGAGTACAAAATGCCAAGCTGGACCCGTCCTGTCTGTTCAAAGATGTTACTGTATACAAGATCCAAGGAAAAGGTTGTCATTTCTCAGCAACAAGTTAGAAGCAGTACAGAAATCTAATCGCACCGTTCACAGATTGCTACTGGACAGCTGGAGCTCTGTTGACTCTGAAAGAACAGCTGGCACTTGCAATAATAATAATAAAAAAATCCAGGCAAGGTAAAATGTACTCAAGGGAGATAACTTGTTAGGATGTGTATAAAATTTTTAATTCTAAAGGTGGCACCCATGCCCATTAAAAGACCTCTCTGCAAAAGGTTTTGATTGGAAAGAGCTCATTTGTATGATGCCCTTGACATAATTTCTAGATTGTATCTAGCTGCATGTATCTAATGTGTTACAAACCACAAAAATGTACACACCCATTCCAGATGGGTCACATCTTGTAGATTAGAAGTGGGGAACCACGTATATTTGAAACACCACTGAAAAAGCATGCAAACACCCTCCTCCACCCCTGCGCTGCCCTTCTTTGTGGCCCTTTGGTGACATTTTAGGGCAACTTCTATGTTCAGCATGATGTGCGTGTGTAGCTGCACACATATCAGATGTGCCTCAAATGGTTGCTGCCTGCAGTGACTAGACATAGTGGCTATGTTATGCCTCTCCTGTCAAGCAGCATGTTTCTGAATGCCAGAGAATCACAACTGTGGAAGAGTGCTCTTGCACTTGGATCCTGTTTTGGGCATCCGGATGACCACTGTGAGAAGAGGATGCTTGTCTAGGTGGGCCGTTGGCCTCATCCAGCAAGCTCTTCTTATGTTATAATGACTTCTCGATGTTGGAGTCCAACTAGTTAAGGAAGCCTGGCTGGATGAGAGGAACTAGCGCACACCATTCACTCACCAACAAAGCTATCCCATTCTTGTCACACATTCCTGTTCCTTTCATTTCAAAATCCATTTTAAGACAACAGTTTATTAGACCAACCTATGTATCAGAAAACTGTGTTCACACTTTCAGGTTCTCCAAAACCTTTCAACAGGCTCAGTCAGGGAAAGCCAACACTGTGCCTTTCATATGCTGCCGGACTACAGTTCACATCTTCCCTGGCTATTGTGTCATGCTGGCTAGGCCTGCTGGGAGTTGTAATCCAACAACAGCTGGAAAGTCACCACACTGAACACTCCTAGGTTAGAATGGTAAAATAGGCAAGGAAAGGAAAGGAAAAACCTGGCAGGTAGTGAAGCCATGGATACAGAGTGGACTATGGCAGCAGACATTCAAGGAAAGCTTTGTGAGATGCTGATCAGGTTGTACCTAAGTTGCTGGGCAGAAGCAGCTGGCAGGGCAGGGTAGCACTGCAGAAACAGTCTCCCAGTAGCAACATCACTGCCTCTTACCAGGAGCAATGGCAAGATGGGAATGCTAGATTGGCTCTGCTAGTGCACCCACCAGTGGAATGTGGAAGGATGTAGAAGACATTCAAATGAGTCTCCCATAGGTTCCATGTATGTTGCACTTAGGCCTACTGGGTAGTAGCTACTGGCAGAGCAAGGTGGTGCTGAGGCTTGTGGCATCACTTAGCAGGAAGGGTAGGGCAGGACAACAGCCAGGTTGGGCAATGCAGATGCACTAGTGTGTCCATGCCACCCTGAACTCTGTGCCACCCTGTCCTTCCGCCCCTCCATCCTGGTAAGTGGCATTGATCCCTCTGCTAGGAGGCTGTGCTGCTCTGCCCTTCCAGCCACTTCTGCTCATGGTAAGAAGGGAAAGCAATGGCTGAAACCTTATCTTCAGGAATAGAAAATCCAGCTGTTACCCAGGCATGTCTCCAACCTTAGGCAAAAGACACAGGCTCTTTGGTAGGTAGGAAACAAGACGAAAGAGACGTCAGCCCATTTCTGTGTTAACAGAGCTGGAGGTAAAATTTAGGCAGTGTGCAAGGTTTTTTAAAAAAAAGATTAATGGAAGCTAAATCAAGTAGTTTGACCTAGCAGCTTCAGGAAATGTTCCATTGTTTAAAAATCCTTTTTTGAGATGGATGACTAAAACAGGATCCTGTATTATATCTAGCAGTGTATTTATTTTCCTTATAATGCATCACATCAGTGGTTCATAGATGTCATGCATGTTGACCCAAGACCCTTGGCTCAGGTCAATACGTCATTTCTGGCAGGTACCAAGAGTGCTCTGAAGCTCATGATTTTGCACTTTGCCCTACTAAATTTTTGCTGTGCAGTTCATGAATCATCCAATACATTATGTATACTTTCCCAATTCTCAGCTGAATTGACTGTTCTCTCCATCTAATTGCCATTTCATTGACACATTCTTCCTTTTCTCACTAAAGTTGTCAACAAACATACCAAACAAAACAGTCTTGAGACTGACTTTGGAAATTCAACTGGGAACCCTTTCTTCAGCTCAAAGATTTGCCTTTTATTACCATCAGAGAGTCTTTCATTTGAGCAGTTGCTTTTCTATCTCACAATACAGATATCATTCAAGGGCTATCTGTTCCCATTTAAGTAGTAATTTCTCCCACAATATGGTATCCAACATTTTGTAAAGGCGCAAATACGTTGGATTTAACTGTACTTCACTTGCCTCAGAAAGAGAGATTGCTTAGATGTAACTGCCTTTGAGTAGTCATTTGCATAAAAGGAGCAGCTATCTTTTTGGAATTTGTGGCCATATCTGGAAATTCAAAAAATCGATGCAGGCACCGCCACAAAATGGCTGCTGTTGGGGCCTGGCTAGTCACAAATGACAAGTAACTTGCCCAAGAGACAAAGTGCAAGGCAGAGCTTAGGGCATGAGCCTTTGCACATAAAACCACTCATTTGATCCTACAGTGGTGGGATCTTTAAAAAACAGATACATTGGGCTCATCCATACTGCTGTTTAACATGAACAGTAAGCTTTCTCTACCTCCACTGATTCTCTGTTGTCCATATGATGTTCTCCTCCAAATTACTGCCTTCCCAACTCTTCCCCCTCCCTCAGTCTGGACTTTCTTATACTTGGGATACTCTGAAAGTGAGAGAGTATGAGAAAATCTAGATTGAGGGAAGGGGAAGTGTGGGTTGGCTGTGTTTTGGAAGACAACATCATATGGACAACAGAGAATTAACAGATGTACAGGAAGATTACTATCCACATTAAACAACAGGATCAGTGAGCTCAATATTACATCCTCTTTGACATTTTCTTCCAATGTTCAAACATTATGTAAATGAACTAAGCAAATAAAGAATGAGTGATTCAAATCAGTTCCTTAACTGTCCAAAGACTATTGTTCACATGAGAAAGAAGGGGGGGGGTTAGTTAAGGGAGAGGTTGAACAGAGCAGCCCATAGCTCAACTCCAATCCTCCAACTATTATTTGAGAATTAGAGATGGAGAAATATGTCAATTTCCCAGTTTCCCAATCTTAAATTAAGTTCTCCAAATTTCCACCCTCCAAATTGGATTCTTTTTTTAAAAAATTCACCCTCTTGAAAATTCATCTGCATTTTAGCACTCCTTTCTTCTAATGAACACTTTTTTGTATGCAGTTTTAACTATTATACACATTTTTGCACAGAATAATGCACGCACGCACACACACAATTCAATCCACACTTTGCAAACAAAATCAAAACTGTTTCTCATGCCTAGTCTAAATTGATGACAATTCTTTTCAGTCAGCTTCATGGTGCAATGATCAGTTGCAATTCCCTCCATAGTTTCCCCACTCTTCGCAACACCACACCACAAAACCCTCAAATGACAAGACATACCATTTTGAAAAACCATGCCTTTTAGTGACTTCCATACAATTTCATATAATTCCCTGGAGCACCCATTCAGTTAGAGCCTTTCCCAACGTTCATAATTAAACAAATCCAAGGGGTCATTGCTTATTCAAATTACACACTACAACTCATTAACCACGGAGAAAGGAGTATGGGGTTGGTTACTCTGTAACATGGTGCTTTGCTGTCTATACTTCCACTAAAGCCCATTTTCTTTTGCATACTCAAGCTTTCATTAAAACTGAATTATGACGCTATTTAAAAGAGTGAGAAAAATTTATGGTCAGGAATGTTATTACTAAATACTTCCAGGATAGGTAATTGTGTAATTATGATGGGCAGAAATGAAAGTGATGGTTCATTAGTAGAAAACGTCCATGAAATAATAATAAATAAAGCTAAATGGAAATGGTAGTAATGCAGAGCCTTCATTGGCTCTCAGCCAAGGGCTTCCCTGGGCTTGCACATTTCAAACACTGGCTGACACTTGTAATGGGATATTCTTTAACCCTTGCAAGCTAATGGGGCTGACATGGAGCCCGACAGCTTCCTGAAATACTTGTAGGACTCCTTAAACAAACCAGAGACACTTTATGTTAGGGATGGAGAACCTGTGGCCCTCCAGATGTTGCTGGACTCCAAGCCCCGTTCACCATGGCCAGTGTTGAGGGATGAAAGAAGGTAATGAGGTCAATGCGGTGAACTGTGCCATCCTCTCTGCTGCCTAGCCCCTTTCCCTTCTAGGTAGCTGCATCAATGCCGGTGATGGGAGGTTAGGTAAGCACTGGTGTTGTAGACCACAACCAAGCCTATCAATCTAACAATTTAAAAACACATAGGAAGCTGCATTACACTGAGTCAGACAACTGGTCTATCTAGCTCAGTATTGTCAACACTGGTGGGCAGTGGCCTCCAGAGTCTGAGACAGGGGTCATTTCCAGTGCTACCTAGAGATGTCATAGATTAAACCTGGGGCCTTCTGTTTGCAAGTTCTGTTTGCAGAGAAGGCCCCTGTTTGTCCTCAAAATCAAGGAGTTCTGGGCCTTCCCCAAATCAGTTTGTT